GGGGGGGGGGGGGGTAGAGAGCCCCTAACTCTGACCCTTCTCCCTGCCCTCCTGCCCTCCCCCTCTCTTTCCTTCGTCTCGGCCAGTTTGATCCCTCCTTCCTTGGGCCGAGCCTGGGCTCAGCGCTGCCCTCCTCCCACCCGGTGCACCCGAACTTCCACTCGTACCAGCCGACCGCCAGCCTGCAGCCGGGGCTGGCGGATCCTTCATTCCTGCCGCCGGCCCCGACCGGCGGCCCTGGTGGCAGCCCCGGCGGCGGTCCCGGAGCCCCCGGCGGCGGCGGCGGCGGCGGCACTTCGCTCCTGAGCAACTACCTGGCCACGGTCGGCACGCCGGGCTCTTCCGGCTCTGCCAGCCCAGCGCCAACCCCGGCCACCATTCCTCACATCGGCGGGACGCCCACCTCTCCGGCTCCGCTGCCAGGGTTCGGCATGCCGAGTGCCCCGGCGGCTGCGCCGATTGTCGCCGGGGGGCCGGTCGAGCCGATGCTCTCAATGCCCCCCCTGCCGGGGACCGCCGCGGCGCCGATCCTTCCCCCGGTGCCCCAGCAGCCGTCGTCCCAGGCGCATCAGCATGCCGCGCCGCACCCCGAGGCTGCGGCCCTCTCGCCGGTGCGTGTCTCACATGGTGGCCCCTCGCGCCAGCGTCTTCTTTCCGGCCGGGAGGAGGGGGGAGCTGGGTTTCCTACTCCCGCCGGACCTAGCCCGCCCCTGCGGGCGCTCCGCTGCTTCATTGCCGCCACATGAGGGCACCCTGCAGGGCGCCCTCCATCCCATCGGCTTATCTGACACCAATGACTTCCTCTCCCCCTGCTGCTCGGTGTCGACAGCGCGCTCCGCCGCCCCACTCGGACAAGGCAGCCTACTTCATGGGCCCCGCCGGGTCTGGAGCCCCGGCCGGCTCCGCGCCGCCCTCCTACCCGCCGGATGCCTTTGATCTGCCGCCGCCGCCGCCGACGCACGTTCCCTCGGCTGGTGGCGCTCCATCGGCCCCGGGCGCCGATGGGTTCCCTCCCCCGGAGCCGCCCTCGGTTGACGATGACGACATGTACATGAGCCTGCTGGCCAAGCGCCTGAATGATCTGAACAAGCGGTGAGTCCCAGGGCCACCCTCAAAAAAAACCCCGGCAGCGAGAGCCTACCGGCGCGTGCGATTGCGAGTGCCCCTCCCCCCTCCTCCGGCGCACCTTGAAGCCCCTTCGGGGGTTGGGGGAGGGGAGGCGGACAGCAAAATGCAGAGCGTTCCCCCCCCCCCCTTTCGCTCCGCCCTTGTGCCCGTCCGCCGACTTGAAGAGCAACCGTGCGTGGGTGAGTCCTGTGCACTTCCCTTTTGTACCATAAAATTCAAAAATAAAGCTACGCACCTGCATGCGCATCGTCCCCCGGCCGGCGGCTGCATACCCCCCCCCCCCCCCGTCCCACCTGGGAGATCGATCGAGGTGTCGAATCTCCTCACGCTGCGGGGGAAGGGGGGGGGCGGTGTTCTGGCCACTGACACGGATGTTGAAGGACCGCAAGAGGGGGCGGGCCGGGGCAAATCTCTGCCTTTGGGCCAGGTCAGCCAGGGACTTCCCCCCCCCTCCCCGCCTCGCCTTTTTCCTCGACAGAGATCTCCCGAGGGAGAGAACGTGGTCCGATCAAAAAACCGCCACCCAAGCACTTTGGTGGGCCATGGCGGCTCCTCCAGCATGTGGGAGCCGGTAAAAGAGCATCTATTTATTTGTAAATAAGAATACCGATCATGTCCTGGGCTCTCGTGATTTGCCGGACACACTGCGGCTGCCCCTGCCGCACCCTGCCGCGCTGGTTCCGGCGGAGGGGGGCGCGCGCGCGCGCGCGCGCGCGGAGCACCGCCAGGCGGGCTGCAAGCCAGGACAGCGTGGGTTCTTCCCGGCCCTGTGTTCTGGCGGCGCGGGAGACCGGGGGTGCATTTAGTCCGCGCTGCTCGCGGCCGGCAGGTGGACGCGCGGCGCTTACTCGCGCCCGTGGGGCCCAGCCGGCCGGGCGGATTCCCCCGGCCGGACACTCGGGTCGGGTGTCGACCCGCCGAGTGAGCAACAGAACTTCGGAGATAAACCGCCCCCCCCCCCCCGCCCCCCGGGGGAGGGGGCGGGGATATGCGAGCATGGTCTATCTCCCAAGGGAGCGAGGGGAAGGCATGCGTTCATCCATCCCCGGAAACGCGTGGTGGTCGGGGCGCTTGATGGTGCCGTGCGCGGTCGGGAGCCGGCGGCCGCGCGTTCGCTCTCGCGACCAGGGGAACCCGTCTGGGCGGGCCTGGAACAGGGCTGGCGGCGTGCCGGCGTTGCGGGCGACAACAGACGGGGGCTCGGGGGCCCACAACAAGCGATGCGCCCCTTGGGGGGGGGGGGGGCGAGGACGCCGGCGTCGCTGGGCTCTGCCGAAATCGCGGCCGCCAGTGTCCGTGGGGTGACGGCGGCGGGAAGAGGGGGGCGCGGCGGGAATGTGGGCTGACCACCCCCGGCCTGGGCTCCACATGCCGTTCCGGCGACCGGTCCCTGGTGGCCTGACCGGCTGGGGCCGTCTCAGCGTTGTCGCCCCCCCCCCCCCATCCCGCCCCTTCGGGTGCGGGCAGGACCGTCGCCCACCTTCTCTCGTACGACTGACCGCCAGTTGGCGTGCTGCCTCCGGGGGTCGCCAGCGGCCTGCTTGTCTTTTGCCGAGTCAGGCTCTGGAGGCCCCCGATGGGGGGGGGGGGGGGAATTATCGGGCGTTCACCAGGTGGGGGAATGTGTGTACGCTCCACAGGCGAAAAACGCGCCGCCCCCCCTCCCCGTCCTCGGGCAGCTGGTTCCGCTTCCTGGGCTGCATCCGCATGTGGTGAGGCCGGGCCGGGCTCCCCCTCGGGGCGCTGCTCGGCCGGGAGAGCGGCACCCGGAGGCCAGCCCAAATGCTCGGGGTCTGTCTCCCGTCGCCGGGATGCCCCGCCCCCCCCCCCCCCCCCTCCTGCCCCCTACACTCCCTCCCTTGGCAGCCGCCTCCAAGCAGCCAACTCTCCCGCCGCCGGCGTGCACGATTCCAAAGAGCATGATGAGATTCCCGTCGGGGACCAGGTGTGGGCCGCCGGGCAGGGGGCCTCCGGCCACGTCCCGGGCTCTGTCCGGTTCTTCGCGAGGGGAGGCCTTCCGGGCCAAGTGTGTCAGAGCAGGAGGCGTTCCTGCCGGGAAGCATCGGCGAATGGGGGGGGGGGGGAGGCGGAGGACGGCACGGGGCCCGGGGCTGCGCCGGGCGCGCCCCATATCATCCCATCCACCCCGGGGGGGTTGTTTTTGTTTTCTTTTCAATATCTCCGCAGGCCAGGCGGCCGCGCCAACCCACTTCGCCGTCCATGCTACTGGGCTGGTGTGTGCTTGTGTAAGTGTGTGTGTGTGTGTGTGTACGCGCGCGTGCACCTGGCAATGGATTCTGCCACATCGGGGGCCTCGGACCGGTGAATGGGTTATTATTTAGGTGTGTCGGACCGTCGCCCCCTGCCAGCTTGTTGGCGGGGCTGTGTGTGCGTGTCTCCGGGCGTGTGTGTGTGTTCATTTCCATGTCAGCTCCAGACAGACACACATGTGTGTGTGTGTGTGTGTGTGTGTGTGTGTGTGTGTGTGTGTGTGTGTGTGTGTGTGCCGAGTCCCTGGCATGGTGTGATCTCTTCGGTCACCCCGCCGAGGCGTCGCTGGCCCCGGGCACGGAAGCATCCCCACACAAGCACCCCCCCCCCCCTCCCC